AGTTTTTGGGTAAATATTTAAGCCACATATAATTAAAAAGTGGCATTTTCATCTCCATCTCTCCATCCAATTTATATGGCTAACCCTAGACACACAACTTCAGGGGGTGAACAACAAATTAAAATTAACAATTAAAAAAAATCTAGGCCGGTGCAAACTCCAAGCAGTAAGACAGGACACTGATGGCATCTTCTGGTGAGCCAGGGGTTGAGATGTGAAGTAGGAATGAAAAGAAGGAAGAGAAAGAACCTTATGTGGATTTGAAAGGAGATGTTGTGGCCTGTCAGCGGTCAGTGGAGCTGACAGCAGAGTTGAACAGTGAGGAGGTTGAGGAGGAACATGGGCCAATACTGGGGGCTGGGGAAAGCTCTGCGTCAGAGGCAGAGAGGGAGCTAGACAGCAGTGAGGCAGAGGAACAGCTGGAGCCTGTTCCCAATGTGCGCAACTGCAGAGCTGCCAGAAGACAAGAACAACTAAGAAAGCAGGGTCGATTTAGGAGTAAAGCCACACCTTGGAGATTATTGGCCCCTCCCATAGGAAACAAAAAGAGGAGCAAACGGGGAGGGGGCTTTTGCAGGAAACAATTCGTTCGTTTGGTCATTTCAAGAGTGGGAAGATCTGTCTGTGACTCTCAGAGACTCTATGCCAAGTTTTGCCTTACACTGCATTTGGAAACTATTTACATGGCAGCTTTCCAAGCTCGATAAGGTCTGTGTTGATAAAAATCCCTTTGAAAGACTGTTTGCTGGGCCTTGCCGACTGTGAATGAAAGGAATTCACAGTCGTGTAAATAAAAGGGGTTTTGCTGGGACCAAGAGTCTGCTTCGTGCTATTTAGGGAAGCCTGGGTCAGAACAAGAGGTGCTTATATCTAGACCACTTTCCCCACCCCAGAAACACTGATGGGAACTCACCCTGTGTGAAAGGGAATCTCTATAGTACCATGCATCCCATTCCTAACCACATGAGCAGGTCCAGAAGAATGCTATGACTGATGACATAGAAGGTCACCAAGAGACCAAAGAAAGTCTCCATCCTGGTCCCACCAGAGATCATCCACAAGCCTAATCAAGGCCATTTCAGCACTATTCCCAAATCTGACCCCATATTGAAAAAGGGGGACCACATAGTTACGCCCTTTCCTAGCAGGGATGCCCTTCATACAGTCACCCAAGCTCTCGTTATCTCCTGTTTGGACTACTGCAATGCCCTCTACATGGGCATTGCAGTCAATGGGGCTGCCCTTGGGGTGTACCCGGAGGATCCAGCTGGTCCAGAATATGGCCGCGTGGGTTGTTACGGGAGCTTCCCATTACTCCCGTGTTACACCTCTCCTGCGCAAGCTGCACTGGTTACTGGTAGTTCTTCGGATCCGCTTCAAGGTGCTGATACTTACCTATAAAGCCCTACATGGCATGGGCCCAAGGTATTTGCAGGATCACCTTCTGCCAGCCTCCCACCGCCCTGTGCGCTCACATAGGACAGCCCTCCTCCGGGTGCCATCGGCCAGACAATGTCAGCTGGTGGCACCCAGGATGAGGGCGTTCTCTGTGGACGCACTGACCCTCTGGAATGGGTTACCCACGGGGCTCTGAATGGCCCCTGACCTCCGCTCTTTCCGCCGTGATCTGAAGACATGGCTTTTTCAACAAATTTGCTGATCTGAATGGTGATTTTAATCAGGAGATTTTAAATTGATTGTTTTTAGTAGTTTATTTTTATTGTTCTTATCGTCTAATTCTGTGAGCCACCCCGAGTCCTTTGGGAGAAGGGCGGCATATAAGTATAATAAAATAAATAAATAAATATAATCTGCTTCCTCCAATAGACCAACAGCTTCTCAACCACCTTATCCAAAAAAAGGTTCCAACAAACTTGAAAACAGGACAACAATTGGCACTGCCGTTGGGCCCCACTGTGCTTTCTTGAAGATCATTTAAGACTGCAGGGGTGAGCAATTTATTTATTTATTTATTTATTTATTATTCAAACTTCTATACCGCCCTTCTCCTTTCGGACTCAGGGCGGTGAACAGCCAAAATAAAAACATTTATACATAACATTACAATTAAAAATAGATTTAAAATAATTAATAAATTTGGCCCGTAATTTAAAACTTGTCAATTTAAAATCAGTATCAAAATTTTAAAACCAACCCTAAAATCAAGACAGACCGGCTAACTGAAAAAAGTAAGTTTTTAGGGCCCGACGAAAAGTCCGGAGGTCGGAGATCACTCGTATCTCTGGGGGTAGATTGTTCCAAAGGGTAGGTGCCACCACAGAGAAGGCTCTCCTCCTGGGGGTCGCCAGCCGGTATTGTCTGGCCGACGGCACCCTGAGAAGGCCCTCTCTGTGGGAGCGAACCGGCCAGTGGGAGGCTATTGGTGGCAGAAGGCGGTCCCGTAAATACCCCGGCCCTAAGCCATGGAGCGCTTTAAAGGTGATCACCAACACCTTGAAGCGCACCCGGAAGTCCACTGGAAGCCAATGCAGCTCGCGCAGGAGAGGAGTCACATGGGAGCGCCCCGTCGCTCCCATAATCCCCCGCGCGGCCACATTCTGCACCAGTTGGAGCCTCCGGGTGTACCCCAAGGGGAGCCCCATGTAGAGAGTGTTACAATAATCCAGATGAGAGGTGACGAGTGCTTGAGTGACCGTGCGTAGGGAGTCCCGATCCAGAAAGGGGCGCAACTGGCGTATCAGGCGAACCTGATAAAAAGCCCCCCTGGCCACGGCCGTCATGTGCCCTTCCAAAGACAGCCATGCGTCCAGGAGGACACCCAAGTTGCAGGCCCTCTTCGTCCTCCTTATATAGCTCTGGTTTTGGTGGAGCTAAGAACGCCCTGAAAGCATGCTGCTAAAATGTAAACAAATGTGAGAATTGGAAACCTGGGCTTATTCCCCAAAAGAATAATTTAATATTTCAGGCAAGAAAATGGGCTGAGCCTTGACCAGTACTTTAAAAGCTGAAACTGTGATGGGAAAAATAGAAAGTAATTAACTTCAACAATACAGCCTCCCGCACAGGTACAACGAAGCAAGCAAATTCAACAGGCATAAAATTCCCAAAACTGTTTTGTCCTGATATTGCTATTATATGTCTAAAAATGCTCACGCACCCCACATATACACAGACTATATCACCTTAAGACAACTGAAGAAGTACAAATTATGCACAGCATGTATGGTTTTCTTTGAAAGTGCAGTAATAATTCCTGTCTTGCCGCCGACTCTGAGAATTCTTTAACACTGGCAGCCAATTATACCAGACAGGGCTAAAGAGAAACATAGCTAGGTTGGCTTAACGATTACAAATGGGAAGAGGACTTTGGAAACAATTCATTCCAAATTTTTGGGGAGCTCCGTTGCATATTCTAGGCCCTTTTTTCTTCTGCTCATTTCCTTGAATGCTAATATGAAATCATGCACGCATCTCTTTTGCTGTCAATTTGATGGAGCCTTTTTTTTTTATTATTTAAAGAAAGGGCTGGAACCTGAAAACATAATTGGTGATGTTTGGTGCTGCCTTGTGTGATAATTTATGGAAATGCATGAGGCTGTTGAGAGTTTGGGTGGTGCTGCTGTTTCCAAGAGAACTTTGCTGAGTCAGTGGTTTGCAATGAATGGCTGTCTTGGTAGGGATCTATTAATGAGGAGGATAGAATTTGCAAAATCGTGGCTCAAAGAAAAGCTGGCGGAATGCAATAGCAATAGCACTTAGACTTATATACCGCTTTACAGTGCTTTACAGCCCTCTCTAAGCGGTTTACAGAGTCAGCATTTGGCCCCCAACAATCTGGGTCCTCATTTTACCCACCTCAGAAGAATGGAAGGCTGAATCAACCTTGAGCCTGGTGAGACTGCAGGCAGCCGGCAGTCAGCAGAAGTAGCCTGCAGTACTGCACTCTAACCACTGCGCCACCGCGGCTCATAAGAACTGTATGGAGGCGAACAATTTATACAATGGAGGGGATGTTAACGAAATCTGCATAGGGGAATTTACCATCAGATTGCATTCCGTGGGTCACCTGTCTGTAGGTTGTATATAATTGTTCTATAGGACCACAGTGGCTTGCGTGGCTAGGACCCTGGGTTGAAGGTTAGCAAGTCCACATTAGAGACCCAAATCCTGCTGTGGGTTGGGGTGAGCTTCCATCCTTCACTACAGCTCCTTCCGGGGACATGAAAGGACCTGCCAACTGGGTGTCCCATGGGCAATGGTGATGTCACCGGCTAATCCTTTCAATCCAGAAGTGACTTAGTGTGTAATGCTCTAGAAAGTCAGCACCGCCCCCCCCTCCACGAAGAATGAAATATTTTGGGAAATATTAAAAAGGCAGAATATTATATTTCCCTAATGGAGAAACATGTTTTTTTTTAAAAGACAGAAAGCAGACTTGGTCTTTCTTAATAGCCCCCAGCAGATATTTTGTGCCCATTAAGAAAGATTGGGCCAGCCTATTTGGAAACCAGCCCCAAGCAGAAACTGAGGAGACCAGCTTTTAGAAATGCAGATTTGATAATCCATTCAGAAAGACTGGGTCAAGACAGAAACTCAGATAAGCAACAAACAAAAGGTTGGCAAAATTAGCTCAGATAAACACCTAGGATTTACATTTCCTCTTTTGTCTATAGAGCCAGTTATGGCCCCTACATAACCCCTATATGATCCCATAGTAATCTAACAATAACCAATAGAATACATGTTCTTGCACAGGAACAGGAAATTCAAGTGCAAAAGAAGGTATAACCCCCACCCCCCACTCTCAACTCTGTGCTCAGCTGCCCAGAAGTACAAACCCATGTGGTTCCGTTTTCTCCCAGCTTGGAACTGAACCAGATGGATATTTCTTCCCACAATGCAATATAATTGTTCTTAATAGTCCAATGTGTGATAATCCCTGTGTCAATGTATTTATGACTGGCAGAGACATGGTAACAAGGTCAGCCAATGAATAGGGCTTAGTAACAAGGTCAGCCAATGGGAGCTGAGACAGTAAGGAGCCTGGGCGTGGCTTAGTTCTGTAGCTCTGTGCTCAGCTCTGAAACTGAAACTAGTCTGCTGACTGAAACTGAAAACTTCTCTCCTCTTGCCTGTGTTTGCTTGTAACTACTACCACGTTGGAAGAACCTGCCATTGGTATTGTACATTTACTTACATGTTATATTATATATAAAGAGAAGTTAATGAATCCTGCTGAATCAGTTACCTGTGTGTGCTTTCTGCAAACTCTGCCACCCTGGACTGGATATTTTTATATCAGGCAGTTCTAGAAAGTCTGGGAAAATGGGGTACACTGGTTTCCCCCATGCATGAGACAAGGTGGAGGAAGTACACCCTAGCTAATAAATCTAATAAATAATATAAATAAATAATCTAATAAAGCATCTTTGAAATATGGGATCTTGGAACTGGAGCATCTTGCTCCATTGATTGATTTGTACTCTCATCTAAAAGAATCCTGTGTCGTAGCTGGTAACATTTAATAGACCATTAAGGTAAAGGTAAAGGTTCCCCTCGCATATATGTGCTAGTCATTCCCGACTCTAGGGGGCGGTGCTCATTTCCATTTCAAAGCCGAAGAGCCAGCGCTGTCCAAAGACGTCTCCGTGGCCATGTGGCCAGCATGACTAAATGCCAAAGGCGCACGGAACGCTGTACCTTCCCACCAAAAGTGGTCCCTGTTTTTCTACTTGCATTTTTTATGTGCTTTCGAACTGCTAGGTTGGCAGAAGCTGGGACAAGTAACGGGAGCTCACCCCATTACGCGGCACTAGGGATTCGAACCGCTGAACTGCCGACCTTTCGATCGACAAGCTCAGCGTCTTAGCCACTGAGCCACTGTGTCCCTTACAATAGACCATTAGTTCCCCTAAAATAATTTTCTATTTCATCTCAAGAGCCACAGTTGACCACAGGCAAAGTCCAAGATACTCACCTGTATCTCTGGTAGTCTCCCTCATCTTTGTCTTTGCAGACGAGCTCATTTGGACAGGCTGAATTTCCCAGCAAACTAAGGAACTCCAGGGAAGGTGCCACTTCAGCCAAGTGATCCAGCAAACCCTCCAATTCTGTTATGTATCCAAAGATGTGGATTAAGGATTCCATGACGTTAAACAACAGGGAAAGTTTTAATCAACATTGCACCATTCCCACCCCTGCCCTCCAGCATGGTCCCAAAGCATGGATCAAGGATTCGAATGCCATTTGTGGTGAGATGGGTGGCAAATAATTTTAATAAATAGATAAAAAAGTAGGAAGCTTTTCATAAAACACCATGCCAACATGATCCAAGGACACCGATTAAGGGTTCAGTGAAGCATCCTTGGTGCTCCCTGAGCTTGGTTGTTTTCTTGCAAGACGTTTCATTACAAACTAGGTAACATCATGAGTGCTAGAAGGGAGGAGGGTTTGCAGAGAGGAGGAGGAGGAAGAGGAAGAGAAGGACTGTGGGATCCTCTGAGGTTGGTGGTTTTCTTGCAGACATCATCAGTGCTAAAGAGTTTGCAGAGAGGAGGAGGAGGAGGAGGAGGAGGAGGAGGAGGAGGAGGAGGAGGAGGAGGAGGAGGACGACGACAACTGTGCGGTCCTTAGTGCTCTCTGAGCTTGCTTGTTTTCTTGTACACGTTTATGACCCAACTACCATGTTTCCCCGAAAATAAGACCATCTCTTATATTTCTTTTGAACCCTGAAATAAGCGCTTGGCCTTGTTTTTGGGGGCGTCTTATTATTTTGGGGCGCGTGGAGCAAGACGGGGCTCCTCTTGCCGTCTTACCTGATTTCCAGCTCTGTCTCCCTAATCCTAAACAGAGGAAATGATGGGGACTGGCTGCACATGCGTTTAAATATTTTTGGGGAGGTCTAATTTTCGGGAGAGGTCTTATTTTCAGGGGAGGGTTTATTTTTGGGGGGAGGGCTTATTTTTGGGGAAATAACATCATAGGTAACATCATCAGTGCTAGTAAGGAGTGGGGTTTGTTGTCAATTTATATTCTGGTGGCTTGCCCTGTCAGTGCTGGTGGTGGGTGGGGGGGTCTTAGAGATTCTTTGGTTGGGCTGTTTGCTGTTGGCTTCTTTGGCAGTTTCTTGATTGGAGTATTGTTTACACGTAGGAAGCTTTTAATCAACATTGTGCCTCTCCCACCCCTGCCAAACAGAATAATCCAGAGTAATGGACTAAGGATTTGATGACATTAACAAAAAGGGAAACTTTTAATTAACACTTTGCCCACCAGCATATCTTATTATATAACATCACACTATATATACACACACACAAATGAGGACATGTGTACACACACCCACACATTCTCATGCTGTGTGTGTGTGTGTGTGTGTGTGTGTGTAGCCATTTAAAGAACTACAACATTAATTATTTGCAGAAGAAATACTTTTTTTCTTTCTTTCTTTGGCTTAAATGGAAAGATCCTGGGATTTATTTCCTCCTTGTTCTTCTCTTTGCTTCTTTTTCATTCCTAGCCGACTGTCTGCAAAACATTAAAAACTTTGACAAAGTGATGGATGTTGTATGGGGAAATGGTTAGCGACTGCTGAAGCCATGAAACTTTTCCAACATGGCAACAGGCAGTTGCTTTCACAGTACATTCATCACTAAATATATTACAACAGGTTGGAAAAATGATTTTTGGAACGGAGTCAAATGACTGCCTCAATATACCATGGGTGCATCTTGGGAAATAGGTTAAGTTTGTTAGCAGAAATGCTTGACTAAAGAAGCTGCTATTAAAGCACTGAGTAAACAAAGACCCAGTTTAAAGAGAAGGAAGTAAAAAAATATATATGGAAAAGAATGCGTTTGATGATATTTAATTTGGGTAATGAAACAACCAAGCTCAGAGAGCACCAAGGATCCCTTATTTAATGCATTCTCTATATCTAAAATTCCGTGAAAAGGAATTCGTAAATTCTTCTGAATTTGCTGCATTTTTGTATAAGATAAAAATAAAACATACAAAGAATGGTTAGAGGAATTGGGTATGTCCCAGGGGTGACATGTAAAATTTGTTACTACCGGTTCTGTGGGTGTGGCTTGGTGTGTGTGTGTGGAGGAGGGGTAATGTGACTGGGTGGGCGTGGCCAACTTTTTTTTTTTTTAACTTTTCAAAGCACTTTTTCTAATGCTTTGAAAAGCTTCTCTGCCGATCAGGCAACTCAGCTAGGATCGTCAGAGACTTTTCAAAGCATTTTTTTTACCACCTCTTTGGCCAAGAGGTTGCAGAAAAAAATGCTTTGAAAAGTATCTGACGATCCCAGCTGAGCTGCGCGATCATCAGAGGCTTTTTTTTTTAACTTTTAAAAGCATTTTTTCGTCGGAAGAGGTTGTAGAAAAAATTCTTTTAAAAGTAAAAAAAGAAAAAGCCTCTGATGATCATGCAGCTCAGCTGGGCATGGGGGTGGGGGGCACAGGAATTTTTGCTACGGGTTCTCCAAACCACCCACCGCCATCGCTACCAGATCAGGGGATCCGGTCTGAACCGGGAGCATTTCACCCCTGTTATTTCCAGTCTAGAGAAAAAAAGGACTAGGAGTAACATGATAGCAATATTCCAGTATTTGAGGGGCTGCCAACAAAGAAGAGAGAGTCAACCTATTATCCAAAGAACCTGAAGGCAAGACAAGAAGTAACGGATGGAAACTAATCAAGGAGAGAAGTAACCTGGAATTAAGGAGAAATTTCCTAATGGCAAGAGCAATCAACCCATTGAACAGCTTGCCTTCAGAAGTTGTGGGTGCGTCATCATTGGAGGCTTTCAAAAAGAGACTGGACAACCACTTTTCTAGAATAGTACAGGGTCTCCTGCTTGAGCAGGGGGTTGGACTAGAAGACCTCCAAGGTCCCTTCCAAGTCTATTATTCTATGTTCTATATATTTGCCACTGGGGATTATTAGAGTTTCATGGGGGTCTTACAAATGTGGACAGTGGGGTTAAATGAATAAATCTTTTGGGACTTTCAGACAAGCAGGATTGTATGATAATCTAGTTAGTAGTTCTCAGCTATTTCCAGCCTGCACCCTTCCCCCCAGGTCAGAGGACTATTGAAGAAGCAGGAAAGAAATTCTTGTCCTCCAACTCTGGGGATGGTTATGGGGTGGAGGTGGAATAGGCTATGGCTTCAAGATGTAGCTGTAGAGGCAATGTAAAGGTACAGGTTCCCCTCGCACATATGTGCTAGTCGTTTCCGACTCTAGGAGGCAGTGCTCATCTGTTTCAAAGTCGAGGAGCCAGCCCTGTCCGAAGACGTCTCCGTGGTCATGTGACCGGCATGACTCAACGCCAAAGGCGCACAGAACACTGTTACCTTCCCACCAAAGGTGATCCCTATTTTTCTACTTGCATTTTTTATGTGCTTTCGAACTGCTAGGTTGGCAGAAGCTGGGACAAGTAACGGGAGCTCATCCCGTTACGCGGCACTAGGGATTCGAACTGCTGAACTGCCAACCTTTCGATTGACAAACTCAGCATCTTAGCCACTGAGCCACCACATCCCTGTAGAGGCAATAGGATTACATATTTAACAATATATTTGAAAGAATGACCTCAAACTTGGATTCAATTTTTATTACTACTACTATTAGATACAGATGCAGATTAACAGAGTTGGAAGGGACCTTGGAGGTCATCTAGTCCAGCCCCGCTGCCTAAGTAGACCCTGCACCATTTCTGACAGATGGCAGTCCAGTCTCTTCTTGAAAGCCTCCAGTGATGAAGCTCCCACAATTTTTGAAGGCAACTTCTGATCTATTGGTTGATTGTTCTCACTGTCACAAAATTTCTCCTTATTTCTGGGTTGAATCTCTCCTTGGTCAGTTTCCATCCATTACTCCTTGTCTGGCCTACAGGTGCTTTGGAAAGTAGCTTGACCCCTTCCTCCCTGTGGCAGCCCCTCAAATATTAGAACACTGCTATCATGTCTCCCCTGGACCTTCTCTTCACTAGACTAGCCATGCCCAGGTCCTGCAACTGTTCATCATATGTTTTAGCCTCCAGTCCCCTAATCATCTTGGTTACTTACTACTAAGCAAACAAACAAAGTACAGTATATACGTAGATCTCAAATCTGCCAAATCATAATTACATTAATTTTTCTACAGTGAAGTTCATCCTAAGATTAAGGAAGGCTTTTTTCCAACTTTTGGCACAAAATTATTGGTTTCAATCAACCATTCCTTGTTTCATCCATTTATTTCTGGAGTTTGTCACCACAATTATTATGTGACTCTCTTAACAAATTCAGGTCAGTTCGGTTGCTTGTCTTTGACTTTGATGTATGTGTTGCTGTTATCTTTGTTATCTCTTGCAGATGGAATATTCCCCACTTTTTCACCTCAATAACTAAAGGGCCGTGGCATTGCCCTGGAGCAGAAACAGATGTTGGTCCTTCAAGGCCTTCCTCTGACTATATGCATACCAATTTACATCTTATTTGCTGGAGGCGAAGGAGGAAATGCAGAGATGCAAGACAAGATCCCAGGTAAAATCCTTGGGAGAGAAGATTGTTTCCTCTCCTCTTTTTTAATACGCAGGGCGAAAAGGTGCTTGATGCAGAGCTCAACACAAATCATTCCTCTTGGCTTTCATTTAGGAGGAGTTCCAAATATGATCGTTCCCTAAGCAATCAACTTAGTTCCAATAATTTTATGTAGTGTAGCTAACAGTCTAATGTGTTTCATTTCTTACTACTTCAAGTGCCCTTTCACCCAGAATCTGAAACAGGAAAGGGGAAAGTCCTACTTTTACCCTTGAAGTTGTGAAATTGTATTGAAGAAGCTGCGTCGAAGAAGAATTTGATAAGAGATAGGACAGCTGTTGTCTAGAACTTCTAGCTTGAGCAGGGGGTTGGACTAGGAGCATGGGTAATCTAGTGAAGAGAAGGACCAGGGGAGACATGATAGCAGTGTTCCCATACTTGAGGGGCTGCCACAGAGGAGGGGGGGTCAAGCTATTTTCCAAGGCACCTGAAGGCCAGACAAGGAATAATGGATGGAAACTGACCAAGGAGAGATTCAACCTGGAAATAAGGAAAAGCTTTCTGACAGTGAGAACAATCAACCAATGGAACAGAAGTTGCCTTTGGAAGTTGTAGGAGCTTCATCACTGGAAGCTTTCAAGAAGAGACTAGACTGCCATCTGTCAAAAATGGTGCAGGGTCTGCTTGGGTGGGGGGTTGGACTAGATGACCTGCAAGATCCCTTCCAACTCTGTTAACCTGTTAAATCTGTAGAAGACCTCTGAGGTCCCTTTCAATCATGTTATTCTATGACAGTGGAAAGGAAGGAAGGAAGGAAGGAAGGAAGGAAGGAAGGAAGGAAGAAGGAAGGAAGGAAGGAAGGGGAGAGGGAGGGAGGGAAGAACAAAAAGAAAGAAAGAAAAAAAAGAAAAGAGAAAGAAAGAAGGAGGAAAGAAAGAAAGAAAGAAGGAATGAAAGAAAAATAAATAGAACAAAAGAAAGAGAAAGAAAGAAAAGAGAGAGAGGGAAAGGAAAGGAAAGGAAAGGAAAGGAAAGAAGGAAGGAAGGAGGAAGGAAGGAAGGAAGGAAGGAAGGAAGGAAGGAAGGAAGGAAGGAAGAAGAAAGAAAGAAGACAAGGAAGGGTCTTTTATAAACTAAATCCAAACAATGAATGGAAAACTCCGGAAGGTTCTTAGTTACTTGCATCCTTTTGAACCTAACTTACAAAAGATGTTATGCCAAAGGAAAACAGTGATCTCTGTAAAATTATTCATATTATTCTGAATTTATTAGCTGATTAGGAACTTGCTAGCACTTCAAGGCTGGGTTACTTTTTCCCCACAACGGTTCTAGGATCTGTCAGTTCAAAAATTTCTCCTGTAGATTGACCAAATAAGAGGTTTGCAGGCAAATAGGCCTTGAGGGTATTAACACTACTATATGGAATTCCTTTCAGTCTAGTTAATTCCTTCTTAAATTCCTGCTTAACATAATCAGCAGAGAAAGTTTATGAAGATGTTACTAAAACAGCCTCTGTTCCTAGCATGTATAGTCATCTCAGAGGGGTGAGAGGAACAGGCTAAAAATGCGACTTAGAAGCAACATCTCAAAAAGTAATCAATCTCCAGATAGCCCTATTATCATATTTATTTCCAAGATTAAATTGGTGTTTTTTTCTTTATTGGATTGTACTGATCATAAGGTTAGACCAGGAGACTTCTAATCTCTTATAGACTCTTATCAGTGTATAAGAGGTCATGAATTGGAATAGACATGGCAACAGGTCAGCCAATGGGGACTGTTTGGTGACTCAGACAGTTTGGAGCCTGGTGTGGCTTAGCTTGACTGTTATGTATAAAAGATTGGCTTGTCCTTGCATTGTTGCTTCTGTGATTATGGATTCTGAGCTTCTGGCTTCTGCTGCATGGGTATTGTATACATGCATCATGCTTTATATTACTGTATATAAAGGAGTTTCTTTTCTAAATGAAACCTGCTGAATTGTTTACTTGTGTGCTGGTTGGATTGTTGCAAACTCTAACATGGACTTTGATTCTCTCCTGGGCTCCTCTGACTTGGGTTTTTTAAGCATTTGATGCAAACCACGCAGTGAACACAGTCTGCCAGCAAGAAATGGTGTCCACGCTTCAGTGTGGAACCACACCTACCTCTTTTGAGTCAATTTGACTTAAAGTAACCTGGTTAGAATCCCAGGTGCCCGATATCTCTACCATTTCCCTTGGCACCTATCAGTCTCCAGGTCTTACTAGATTTATTTGACTTTACATAATTCTGATATTTTAACTACCGTAGGGGATATTTCCTCAAGGTGGAATTTCTGTGAATTTGTGAAGGGAGAGGGCTGCTGAGGGAGACGTTCCCACAAGAGATCAAAATGGAGGCCCAGCTCCGAAGGAAAACCTTGTCTACAGCAGTTCCCTGTTTTGGAACCCTCTCCCCTCTGCAATGCCTCAATATCCTTACAGGTCTTCTACACGGCCATCAAAAGTGTCCTGTTCAACTGTCCCTCAGTGACTGATTCTTGAGGTTGGATTTGGAGTAAACATCTTGTATTCTCTATAGTTGCTGACCACTTTCATTAGTTTGCTTTACAAATGGATGTTTTTCAATAAACGACCACAGTTTCTACTTTCCGTTCTGTCCTGTCCTATTAAAATATATATTTTATAATATAATAAATATAATATAAAACACATTCTATTTTATTTTACATTATATTTTACATTCTGTTCTGTTCAAATCTATTCTATTGTATGGTATTGTATTATATGGTATGGTATGGTATTCTACATTCTATCCTATCCTATCCTATCCTATCCTATCCTATCCTATCCTATCCTATCCTATCCTATCCTATCCTATCCTATCCCTATTATTCCATTCCATATTTTCTAGTCTAGTCTAGTCTAGTCTAGTCTAGTCTAGTCTAGTCTAGTCTAGTCTAGTCTAGTCTAGTCTAGTCTAGTCTAGTCTAGTCTAGTCTAGTCTAGTCTAGTCTAGTCTAGTCTAGTCTAGTCTAGTCTAGTCTAGTCCAGTCCAGTCCAGTCCAGTCCAGTCCAGTCCAGTCCATCCTATCCCTATCCTATCCTATCCTATCCTATCCTATCCTATCCTATCCTATTCCATATTATTCCATCCCATTCCATCCCACCCCACCTTAGAATAGGATAGATAGGATAGGATAGGATAGGATAGGATAGGATAGGATAGGATAGGATAGGATAGGATAGGATAGGATAGGACAGGACAGGACAGGACAGGACAGGACAGGACAGGACAGGACAGGACAGAATAGAGTATGCAATGGAATAAGAACAGAACAGAACAGAACAGAATAGAATATGCAATGGAATAAGAATAGAACAGAACAGAATATTCCCTCTGCAAAAGTTGATGTGGCCAAGATTAATAATACCTTGTAGATTTGTGGCTGAAATGACAGATACTCAACCAATTTAAATAAACTGTGGCTTTAAGAAAAAAAATTAGAACCATAGTTATCATTACAATACACATATTGATGAGGGGGCACATCAGTATGTAATCAGTATTAGAGCATGCAAATATTGCATTCATTAACACCGAATTAACGGTTTGATTGCTGTTATTTCTCTCCTCCTCGGAAGCCTCACAGTTTCGTGGCTAAGAGATTTGCAGTCCCGATAATCTCTCAAAAACCTGGACTGATAGTTTCAGATCGGGCCTATGCTACACTCAGAATGAAACAGAGCAGGCACGGTTCCTAAGCTTCTTGCGCAAGCTACTAGTCTTTTCAAGAAAAGGGTACATGTGTGCATATATCCAAGGACAGAGGAATGTTTCAAAAGTTCAAATGAAACGAGCAAAACGCAGCCCGTAAGAACCCAAAGTAGCCACACGCCGGCCCTCTTCGCCAGGCGCCAACAAGCCCTTCGACTGCCTGAAATGCTGTTCTGGAGCCTAGTTACTTGAGTGCTGAGTCTAACCCTGCTAAGGAAATCAAGAATTCAGGATGCACGAACCTCTGGATTGCCTTGTTTCATTGCATCCCGTCTTCCACTAGAGGTCAGCCTTCTCCAGAATCCAAAAAAAAAAAAAAAAAAACCAGCCGGATTCCTTCTTCCCAAATGAAATTGGCTGTTATTTCCACTTTTGAGTTTCTTAACAAAGATTCCTTCAGAGCCATGAGCTACAGTCTCACACCTCTTTCCCTCCCTCTTATTTTCGAGGAAAAAGAGACCAAGGCATCCTGCTTATGAAAGAACCACTGTAAACCTTCTGGCTGACGAGGAGAAAAGAGATTAGGGTATTTATTGCCTGCGTCTAAACCACATTTGACCTTCTTTCATGTGGCTGCCACAGAAAGATGGCCAGGCAGCTGGCGGAGTCTCCCCCCCCCTCTGTTTTCAAAAGGATATTTGGTTCTTGTTGAGCATCAGGGTATGAAGGTGTGGCATGCTGGGTAAGCGAAGGTCACTTTGGAGAAGATTGTTGTCCAGAATGAGCTCTTCCAAGCTGTTGAAGGCCTGCAGTCCTTCCAGAGATCTGCAATAAGGAAGGGGAAAAAATGACCCTTTAGTCCAGGAGTGTCAAACTCAAAGCCTGAGGCCTGGATCTGGCTCACGGGGTACTTAGATCTGGCCTGTGGGGCCACCCTGGAAAGAATGAAAGACCAGCCCGCGGTGCTTCTGCCAGAGAAAAACGGGCTCCCAAACTCCGTTTTCAGCTGCCACGGCCTCCTGCAATCCTCTGCCAGTGAAAACGGAGCTCGCACGCGGCCCTCTCAAGCTCTGTTTCTCTGGCAGAGGGTTGCAGGAGGCCATAGCAGCCGAAAACGGAGCTCGGGAGACCGTTTTCGCTGACAGAATCGCTCGGGTGACCACAGGCACCCCTGATAGGAGTGATGTCGAGCTGGCCATGCCCACCCTGGCCACGCCCCCCCCGGTCCCCTGAGGACAAACACAACCCTGATGCACCCTACAATGAAATTGAGTTTGACACCCATGCTCTAGTCCAGTGATGGCTAACCTTTTCCGGACCTGGTGCCCAAAGCATGCATGTGAACCAGGGGTGAAATGCTCCCGGTTCGGAGCAGATCACCCGATCCAGTAGCGATGACGGTGGGTGGTTTGGAGAACTGGTAGCAAAAATCCCTGCGCCCCCCCACACACACACTTCCTTTTCAAAGCATTTTTTTCTACAACCCCTTCTGACGAAAAAATGCTTTTAAAAGTAAAAAAAAAAACGCCTCTGATGATCGTGCGGCTCAGCTGGGATCGTCAGAGGCTTTTCAAAGCATTTTTTTCTGCAACCTCTTCAGCCAAAGAGGTGGTAAAAAAAAATGCTTTGAAAAGTCTCTGACGATCCCAGCTGAGTTGCCTGATCGACAGAGGCTTTTCAAAGCATTTTTTTGCAACAGAGGTTGTAGAAAAAATGCTTTGAAAAGTTAAAAAAAAAAAAGTTGGCCACGCCCACCCAGTCACATTACCCCTCCACCAAGCCACGCCCACAGAACCGGTAGTAACAAATTTTACATTTCACCCCTGATGTGAACCCCCAAAATGCAATGTGCAGGTGGCCCTCATGCAGGTGCCCCACTCCCCAATATGTGCCCATGGCCCCCCACATGACCCCCCTGCATACACTCCAATGCATGCGTGTGTGGTCCCCCACATGCACCCTGCCTCCCACGCATGCCCGGCAGAGACCCAACCACCAGCTGGCCAGCGGGGAGGTGTGCGCGCATACATGGCGGAGCTGAACTGGGGCGATGGCTCATGTGCCCGCAGAGAGGGCGCTGCGTGCCACCTGTGGCACACGTGCCATTGGTTTCGCCATCACATCATCTAGTCAAATCCAAGAGCTTGATGATGAGCTGAAATACGTATTTTAACCTTCCCTTTGAAAGCAACCCTGAAGAATTTGGGTTTCTGTCCTGTCAGGAGGGCTGAATGACAAGAATTAGCGGGAAAGGGTGCGCCACACATCGCAGCAACACATCGCTCACTTCCTGGCAGCATGAAAGATGGAGGTCGCTTAGTGAATAGCCAAGATCCCAAACAAAAAAAAAAAAGGGTTCAGATATGAGCCCTGCAGGATGAATTTGTCAACGTCTCGTGCCTTCAGGCACCCCAGCCCCGCCTGACCCCTAACCTTCATTCCCAAGACAAATAACTCTGTCACACTTCACCTTCATTCTCAGGACACAAATTTAAGTTGTCATCCATCATTTCTGCCATGAAATATCATACCCACTAACAATAATAAATTCAACTTCAGGAATTGTTCTCAGCAGCATTTCTCTCTCTATAGAAATGCACACAGACACACAGCTCCAGCCTTTTCTGCTAGCTTTTCAAAGGCACAAAAGAGAGCCAGTGCTGGAGAGAAATGCAGAATTAACTTCACGCCACGTACCAAATAACAAATAATTTGTTTGCCTAACAAATAATTACATGCGCACTCGCACCAACCTAGGTAGGCATAACCCCTATTGAAAGAAGCAGGCAAAATATATTTTTTTTTCCCCCAACTATGGCAACACAACTTTCAAGGTTGTAAACAAAGGAGACGTGTAAATAAACAAAGCAGTCTGGGTAGAATTGTTGGCAGGGCGTAAACCCCGGGTTTGACACTTTGCAAGGATGATGATTGCGGCATTAACTCGTCATTTCATGGCGTTGCAAGTTCGCACAGGCCCGTGTGTGGGAGAAGCACCACATCAATCAAATAAGAATCAGCATGTTATATGAAGCATGCACATCAACACGCATTTGCAGTTTGTTCACCTACCCAACACCTAGATCTGCTGAGAGGGCTTGACATGACAGCTGAGCTCATCTGCCTACCAGGAAGGAGAATCACCACTTAATCTCCGTCTCGCTGTTTTATAGACTGTGAGGGCTAAAGAAGATGGAGGAGGAGGTGACTATTTATTCACTGCCCAGTGACATTATTTCCTCTCGTTAGCATCCTTCATCGAGGCCTATAGAAGACATTCTCTATTAGGAGCAGGAGTGAAATCCAGCAGGTTCTGACAGGTTCTGGAGAACCGGTAGCGGAAAATTTGAGCAGTTCGGAGAACTGGTAGCGGAAAATTTGAGCAGTTCGGAGAACTGGTAGTGGAAATTTTGAGTAGTTTGGAGAACCGGCAAATACCACCTCTGGCTGGCCCCAGAATGGGGTGGGAATGGAGATTTTGCAGTATCCTTCTCCTGGAGTGGGGTGGGAATGGAGATTTTGCAGTATCCTTCCCCTGCCATGCCCACCAAGCCACACTACGCCCACCAAGCCACACCCACAGAACCAGTAGTAAAAAAAATTGGATTTCACCACTAATTAGGAGTATACCAAGGGAGACCATTGTTTATTTATTTTTTTATTTATTAGTCATATTTCTATGCCACCCACTCTCCGAGAACTCTGGGCGGCTTACACCAAAGACAGTATACTAAATAGCATATTGCCCCCAACAATCTGGGTCCTCATTTTACCCACCTCGGAAGAATGGAAGGCTGAGTCAACCTTGAGCCGGTGAGATTTCATCCGCTGATCTGCTGAACTAGCAGTCAGCTGAAGTAACTGCAGTACTGCACTCTAACCACTGCACCATCTTGGCTCCTCCTTGTTCTGACCCAGCCTTAGCAAAAACAAGAAACAGACTCCTTGTCACGAAAAACCACTCTTTATTTATCTCCTGTGAATTAATGGCATTCACCCACCAAAAAGTCTGGGCAATAGTCCTTAAAATGAGTTAACTGAAGTAACAGACCTTATCAGTTCCTTATGATAAATGCAAAGGGGTGAGCTCCCAGCCGAAAGGCTGTCAATTAAGTTCTGGCAAGCAGTCTCTGATGGACGAAACACAACGAGAAATGTCTCCAGAAATACAAACTGTTGTCTCCTACGACAACCACTCTCCTTTCCTTCTATTTATTTCCCAGCCAGGGAGGGGCCATTCAGCATCCACATGTGTCTTGCTTCCCAAGTTGACTCCTTGTCCTCCGTTGTTCACCTCTCCTAACTGCTCTGCACATAGGTGCATCTGGAACAGGCCCCAGCTGTTCTTCCTCCTCACTCATATCAGCCTCCAAAGGCAGCTGCCTCTCCAGTGGCTGGGAAATGCCGGATGGCCCTGGATTTATCTCTGTGTCCAACACTGAACATCCATCAGAGCCTTCTCCAGGCTCCAGAACCTGTCCAAGTTCTTCCCCAACCTCCTCATTGTCCGAGTCTGCCACCAGCTCCACTGGCAGCTGGCGGGCCACAACACCCATCTGAAATCTCATGCGCCATTTTGACAGAACAAGCCACCAATGGGCTAAAAAGTGTAATGGAAGTAAATGAAGATCTGGATTAAAGAGGTTGAAGAGTGGAAGGATTTAGAAGCATGAGTGGAACAACTTTACCCATAAAGTCAATGAGGAGCCAAAGAGGCTATTGCACACAGGAGAGAGTAAAGCAAATTTACAACAAAATTTAATTTTCGCTAAGGGAAGTGAATTATGCTGCTTATAGGAATGCAGGGAGAAGCATCTTTCAAAATGAATGATTAAGGACACGACTCAATTAGTATATCTAAAAGGATACATGCGTGCATATACCAGGGGAGAAATCCAGCAGGTTCTAACAGGTTCTGGAGAACCAGTAGCAGAAATTTTGAGTAGTTTGGAGAACTGGCAAATACCACCTCTGGCTGGCCCCAGAGTGGGGTGGGAATGGAGATCTTGCAATATCCTTCCCCTGGAGTGGGGTGGGAATGGAGATCTTGCAATATCCTTCCCCTGCCATGCCCACCAAGCTACACCCACTGAACTGGTAGGGAAACATTTTGGATTTCACCCTGACATATACCCATTGTGGATATACACTCAGAGACAATAGTTATTTCATGAGAGCACAACTTTTTTGGGGGGGAAAAAAGAATCCAAAATCACTGAGTTCCATATCAAGAAAGCAGTACACTTAAAATTGTAACACCATGTAATTAAATTTTAAATTAACAGAATAACAGAGTTGGAAGGGACCTTGGAGGTCTTCTAGTCCAACCTCCTACTCAGGCATGAAGCCCTATACCAGTGATAGCTAACCTTTTCCAGACCAAGTGCCCAAAGCATGTGCGCATGTGCACAAATGCATACACACAAAACTCCAAAATGCAACGCATGTTTGCCCCCCGTGCATGCGCCCCACCCTCCCACGCATGTGCGTGCACCCCCCACATGAATTCCCCCCCCCCTCAACGCATGTGCGCACTGCCCCCCGCGTGTGCCCTGCCCTCATGCATGTGCGGCAGAGACCCGAAGACCAGCTGGTTGGAGGAAGGTGGGAGTGCATGCGTGGCGGAGCTGAACTGGGGTGACGGCTCGCATGCCCACAGAGAGGGCGCCATCACGGCCCTATCCTGTTTCAGACAAATGGTTGTCCAATCTCTTCTTAATGGATGGAGCATCTACAGCTTCTGGAGACAAGTCGTTCCACTGGTTAATTGTTCTCACCATTAGGAAATTCCCAGGCTAAGCAAGTTCTAGGTTGATTCTCTCCTT